AGATAATCAGAATAAAACAGGTAGAGGACGAAAATTTTTTGAATTCAAAGATGAAATGGACAGTATATTCAAAAAAACGAAATATTCATCCCGAGATACTTCTATCTGCTACAAAAGTTATTGAAAATGTGTCGTTGACTTCAGATGTAGTTCTAAAGGAGACTGAAACTCAAGAAGTAGAGAATACTGACAGCCCAGTTCCAGTTACCCACACCGCTACATCTGCACCTAATACCAATACAAAGCATCCAATTCTAAATAGAAATAGAATATTGGAAAATATGAGAATAGAGAGAGCAGAATATTATAAGGAAAGGCTCAGTATTGAAAGGGATAAGCTAGTGGTTCATAGAGAAAAACTAGAAGAGATAAAAAGGCGAAATCTATTACTTGAGAAGCAAAACCAATTACTTGAGAAGCAGAACCAACTACTTGAAAAGCAAAACAAACTTAGGGAAAATCCATAAGATTAATTTATATGTATAGTATTGTTTTTCTGAATAAATATTTTGTTACTTTAACTGTAAAAATCATAATAATTAAAAAATAAAGTATTTTAAAATTTTTATTGTTCTAACAAATTTAAAATTTGATTTCGAACTGCAGCACCATTTCTGTCATCAGGTTCATCATCAGGATCATTATTGTCCAACTGTAAATCAGGTGCTGCTTCATTATTGCCTGCAGGATTGTTTTCATATAAAAATTCATCATTTAATGAAATATTATGCAAAACACAACTTGCTCTTATTAAATGTACACAATCAGCTATAGAGCGTAATTTAAGATGGTATAACTGCCTAAATTTTTGTTTGAGGACTCCTATGCAATGCTCTACTAAGTACCGGTTAGCACACAGTTTTGAATTATAATTTATTTGGGCCCTACTTAACTGCCCCCGGTCTCTAAAGGGTGTTAATAAATTGGGCAATACAGGATATCCACTGTCTCCTAATATATAATAATTTCCACATTTTTCTTGTAGTGTCTGAGACAATGGAGAACTGCGGAATACTCGACTATCATGTACAGAGCCCGGGTAACCAATAAATATGTCTCTGATTTGTAATTCATGGTCACATACCAATTGTAACTAAAACATAACATAGAATAAATACATTTTATTACTGTACAGTAAAGAAAATTACCTGAATCGAATAAAATCCTTTTCTATTTATGTAAGAATCTGGATCATCCTTTGGTTTGTCAATCTTGATATGTGTACCATCAATTATCCCAATTACACCTAAGAAACCATTCGTACGAAAGACATTCTCAATTTTAACTTTTTCTTCATCGGTTGGCCATTTTATTATATGACTTGAGCAGTAGCTCAAAAAGTAAGTCACTTTTCGTATCACTCTAGATAAAGAACTTATTGTAATGTTGAAGCGGTCTGCAACATCTCTAAAACTAGCCGTTTGATGGCCTATATACCATAAAAAAATTAAAACTTGTTGCATTGCTGACAATTTACCATATGGTCCTGCATGTATTTTATAGTAGTCACTATTTTGAAACTGTTCAGCTATGGACTCAGTAACATGCCGACTTATTCGAAAATGCTCCTTAAACTCTGTTTCATTGTATTGGGAAACAGTTGTTTCAAAATAGTTTCTATTTTTAGGGCGAATTCTATCTTCCAATACAATTTCTTCCAAGTCATCACTGGAGTCGCTCATAGAGGATAATGACGAATATTCAAGCTGGATTTATAGTTTGACGGACTGTAGACGCAGACGCACTGGAAAAAGATCAACATAGACTTTTGTGTACTCCTATTTATAAATGAACGTAAACGCAAGACGGGACGTAAGCGAAACGCACTGTAACGGAAGAGTTGGTCAACTTTCAACTTTTACAGTGCGTTTCTTACGTCTGACCAATCAAAAGAAAGAATGGTTTATGTTCATTGCACCAATATTGAAATATGCCAAAAATTGATCTGGATCTTCTGTCTTCATCTTTAAAAAATAATTATAAGCATTCTCTATTTTTCTATTACGGTTTATTGGTCTTGTTTTATAACGTCTTGGTCGCCTTATTATTGTCCTTCTAGTTTTTTGCGATGCTACTGCACACAGCACAGCAGCAATCCTACAGCGCCAAGGAGCATACCTTCGTATATTTCACAATCCATTCTAACACGCAAAAAGGATAAAAACAAAATATTATAATAAACAATAGTATAAACACACACCCTTTGTTTATTATGAATTCTGATTCCTATAATTGTATAATTTATAGGTTATATTGAATGTTGTGGCAAGTTGTGGGTCACCAATTCTTGTCTTTACTCATGCGCAAAAATTCCACTACGTCCATTTATAAATTGAAAAAATATTTACAGTCCGTTTCTTACGTCTCCAGTGCGTCTACGTCCACAGTACGTCAAACTATAAATCCAGCTTCACTGTCACTCATTGTTTTATAAATTATAATATCAAAAGTATAAAACACTAAAATACAATATTATGTATGTACTTAAAACAACAAAATTACCAAAACAAAGGTACCTATTTAAAATTAAAAATAAACAGTGTAGGTGTGAGTAAATCAAAATTCGACTAATTGCGCATGTCTGTGATTACCAGTTTGCAAAAAGTTCGGAAACTTTTCAAACTGTCAGGAACTAATTTCAAACTGGTTTTATATTTCATGGAACAGTGTACTTTGTTGACAAGGTATCAGAGAAAATCTTGTTGGAACGGCGAAATTATTATTGCGCATGCGTCTGACAGTCGGCGACAGTTTGAAACTTCTGTAGGAACAAACCTAGTATAAAATAAAAATTAACATATTAAAAACATAAGGTATAATAATGCATATATATGCATGGGTTCCCAGGTATACACAAAATAGGATTCATCATCATCAATACACAAGCCAGTTCGAAACATTAAAGTTAAAATTTAGGAATTCATCACTTGAAAACTGCTTCCCCTTCAACCAATGGACTCTTTGCTTCACCACAATACTCAAAGATATCATTAAGGTTAATTTCCATTATTAAATGATACAAATAACTCGTCTTAAACCAAACTAAACATGGAAAAGCAATGGTAAATATTCGAATGTTATGTTTGTTTTTGTTTATACCCACAGATTATAACACAATTTATACCATTTATATCGGCCATGACACTGCAATCGACCTGCCCTCTACATTCAGTTTCAATCGCGAATAAATGGGTTTTGTATTCTTGTGTACTCCTGTGACGTAAGTCAAGCATCCCCACCCCAGTCGGAAGAGGCAACCGTAGTAAGTCTACGAACCGTGTGTTTGCGGTATTAAATTAAATGTCATGTCCTTATTATGTATATGTCGTAGGCAAATATGAAATGCAGGCATTCTTGCAAAAGCCTAGTCATTTTCGTAATTGTATGGTGAAGTGACGTAATCGTCACTTCACCCTTTAGGCACCGAACACCGTTGTTTGGTGCTTTAGGCATTTGCGAAACTACCGGAAATGGTAATTCTATTTTGAAACAGTGTTGCAATTTAGGCACAGATCATACAATATAAAAAAAATTAGTTTAGGCTATAAAAGTTTACATTTACACAGTCTAAATATCAGAAACGATATAAGAAATGATACAAGAAAATGCATAGTGTCATACGGCCTAAACGAGTAGATATTGGTCTCTTTCGAGATTAATTGCGAACATCTGTTGTAATATAGCAACTGCTGATTTAACGATTGCCAAATCTATCCTCTAATCTACCAAAGGGTAATTGCTAAAAAAATTTTTAATAATTAACTGCAATTAATCTCCAAAGAAACAAATAAGTATTTACTCATTGTTTTATATAAATTAAAAATTGCATAATGCATAACATAATATAAACAAAATGTACTTTTCTAAAGCTTTATATTTTTATATTTGAAGCATGCAGCATCTACGTTGTTAAAACATGCCAACACTGTTAGACCGAAATTTTTTGTTCCATGTTTGACATTTGCGGCTATAATCAGCTTGTACTTTCGTTAAACTCAACCAACTTTGCGTTTACTGTTTACTTTACAACAGCAGCAGAGTACAAGCCCCATCGAGCAATACAAGCCCTCAAGTCCCATTGGAAAGATTTGGGAGAGTTTCTAGCACCAAATGCGGACGGGCCGAAACTAATTTTATTTGATGTCAAATTTAAAACGCAGGTTCTTAATTTTAGGCGGCAAATTAAAAAAATATGCTCTGTATTTTAGGTGGCAAAACTCCAAAAGTATGCTTTTAATGGAAAATAAATATAGCCATAAAATAAGAAATAAAAACTTCTATGCCAAAAATTATATACTCTCTAATAAAGAATATAGTATACACTTACGCTTTTTATACATATAAATGTATAACATAATATTTCATCGGAGAGAGTATATATTATGGTACAGGAAAGTTTTTCCATTACATTAACAAACCAAAGTCACGAAAACAACAAAATAAAACGCAGATATCCTGACACTTCTTTATTTGTATTATTTTCTTTATTAAAGTATTGGCAACAAATAGCCTCCTCCTGCTCATTCCTTAAGCCCTTGTCAGGGTATGGGTAGGGATACTCTAAATATTGTTAGCTTGCTGTCTCCGTTGGCTGGGATCCTGTACTAGATGGACAACTTCATGTAGGAATTTTGCCGCCAATCTTCATTTAAGATCTTTATCATCTTTTAAGATCTTTAAATCATCATTTAAGATCATCTTCATTTGTTTTCCTGTTTAGGCTCTTCAAAACCATTTCTCAGATTTATCTATTATTTACAATCTGGTTGATGTAAATAATTATTGAGGTATTAAAACGATCTCTATAGAACTTTATACAGCCGCAGGTTAGTATTAACTAATACTCTGAAAATTTTAAATTACTTCTTTATTTCTATGTATACAAAAATTCAATCAATTTAAATATTAATTTGTCTTACAACAATTTTATATAACATGATTCCTAATAGTGATTAATGTTTTTTAACAATTAAAGCTAAAATTTACTAAACTAAATTCTATTAACCATACTAGTTTTTCAAAGATCTATAATTGTTTTTCATTTTAAATAAAAAGGCTGTTCGGCCATATCTCGAGACCTGAATAAAACTGACCGAACTTTTTTTAAAATTTGGACAAGATTCCTTTGTTCCAAAATAGTAACAATATTTTTCAATTCTATAGTCATACCGTTTATGCATTCAATTAATTATTGTTTAACCAATTTGAATACTTTTTTTTTTTCAGTATGTGCTTTCAAATGCTGTTTCATATTACTACCAATAGTAAATTGCTTAAAACAAATTTCACACTTGCAATGCTATTCCCCACTGTATATTTTCATATGCTTTATCAAATCGCTTTTCTGAGAAAACTGATTACAACATATTTGAAACATTGTGATCCTTTTCTACATTGTGTACTCTCTCATGCATTATTAAATTGCCCTTCTGACAAAACTGCTTAAGACAAATTACACACTTGTACGGTTTTTCCCCAGTATGTACTTTTAAATGGCTTTTCATATTACCTACTACAGTAAATTGCTTACAGCAAATTTCACAGCTGTAAGGTTTTTCCCCAGTATGTGTTCGCAAGTGAATTTTCAATTTATTTGTTGAAGTAAATGTCTTAAAGCAAATTTCGCACTTGTAAGGTTTCTCTCCAGTATGTATTCGACAATGCATTTTCAATTTATCTGCTGTAGTAAATGTCTTAAAGCAAATTTCACACTTATAAGGTTTTTCCCCAGTATGTGTTCGCAAATGCTGTTTTAAGATATTTATGGTAGTAAATGACTTAAAGCAAATTTCACAGCTGTAAGGTTTTTCCCCAGTATGTGTTCGCAAGTGAATTTTCAATTTATTTGCTGTAGAAAATGTCTTAAAGCAAATGTCACACTTGTAAGGTTTCTCCCCAGTATGTGCTCGAAAATGTATTTTTAAATTATGTGCTGCAGTAAATGTCTTGAAGCAAATTTCACACTTGTAAGGTTTTTGTCCCATCTGAGCTTTTATACTTTTGTTTAATGTGGTTTCTTCAGCATGTTGACTTACATTTTGTTCTTTGTAGTATGACAGTTTAGGTGATATTTTTTCAGTTTCCATTTTACTGTTGATTTGGGGAAAACCTAAAATATAAACCAAACTAAAAAATTTGTTTCTTACTGCAAGGAATCAATAAGAAATAGCTATAGCAATAAACAATCTAAAACAAGCAAGTTTATCTTTTGGTATTTGCATTTTTATTGGGAAGAAGCTAATATTTTGTATTTTGTGAATGAGAAATAAACAATTGTTACAAATATTTATTATTTGTATAGAATAATTATTTCAACACCTTGTATTTTAGTTAATTTTTTAGTTTTATCATGTTACCCAAAATTTCCCGTTGCTACTGTTCTAAAGAGTAAGTCAGATATAATATTAAAACTTCAGAAAATAAACTGTCACCCATTAGGGAAAAATTTAAATAATTTAGCAGACAGTTTAAGAGAACAGTAAGTAATGTTAATTAAATAGATTTTTATGTTGTTAAGTTTATATATTGTAGGAATTTGAGTTATTTTTTCGCAAATAAAAACAGTTTACTACAAATCTGTCAATTGCTGGGCTTACAATAAAGATAAATTCCCAACAACAATTCTGTTAATAATAATTTGTAACTAAAGTCCAGATTATAAACATTTTTTTCTTGCAATTTGGGATTTTTATTATTAATACTTAAGTATTTTACAAAAGTTTTGTATCTGAGCAAACATTTATTGATGCTATTAGCAATGGTTATATATATTCTTTGGTATTAGTACATATTAATAATAAATCTGTCAAGTTTTGACATAAAGTCCATAAATATTCCACACACCACAGACTATTGGGATAAAACTATTCCATCAGTATGGAATAAAACTATTTCACCAGTAATCTATCACACATAGAATGTTGAGCACACAGTCAAATACATTATCACTAACTGAGGCAGAGTCCATTGATATAAATTTCAAGTTCATAAACGTCCTATTCTTACTACTTGGGTACCCATTGTACAATTAAGACTTATTCAGCCGTATTTTTTTCTAAATCCTAAAATTATATATTTGCAAAGTTTATCCAATGCATTAGTTACTTTGTCTATTTGGCTACATGCTTTCTTTTTATTGACACATTTTAAGCTTAGTAGTTAGTTAAAAAATATATTTTAGCAGGCCCTTGCATGTTGACCCAAGGTACAAACTGGTAATGTACCTTGGACCAGCATTATATTGTACCTTGGGTCAGTTATAAAAAAAAATAGAACAAATCTTGAAATGTTTTATTGAATATCTCAAAATAATCAGAACATTATGATTAACTAATGATTAATTTAGTAAATAAAAACTTATTTGACATTATATCCGCTAAATTTAACATTAAATTTCAGGTGCGCATCGTGACGTGCAGTTCCGCTTATTTTGTGCGGTTGTGGAAGTTTACGTACAATATCATTGCGTAAAAAATCATAAGTCTCGGTTGAGTCGTTTATAAACTTATTGGAATCTAGAATTCTACGTAAATATCTAAGTTCATTATTAATTCCACTGTTCAGTATCTCGGCAACATAATAAACAAAAGATTTCTTCCCTGCCACTTTCACTAAAACAAAGTCTCCTTTTTTAATCTCGTTATTTTCAGATGTCATATATTTTTTGGTCATTTAATAATTCTTCTTCTCTAGTTACCAAGTCCTCAAATGTACCTCCATCACTTGAATTTGATTCACTATCATACTTAGCAGCTCTCTTTGGCACATTTTGTATATCTTCTGTCGCTATTTGCTTTGTAACTGCCTGCACTTTCTCAAATGATACCGTCTTTCCCTTTTTAAGCGTAGCTATTTCATCTTTCTCTGGAGTGTCGGTAAGTATTCGTGACTTTCCTCTTGCTCTTCCTAACTTCGTTTTGCGAACAGGTGCCTTTGGATAGGGTCGCAACATTTCAGGTGTAATAGAACTTTCTGAAGTTCCTGCTTGACGAATATTTGAGGTAGAAGGAGTAGAGACTTCCATTTCATTAACTGTAGTTTTAGTTTTTCCCCCGTCCTGTTCAACATTGACTTGCTCGCGACTGTCAGTAAGCTGGTTTAAAGGACGATCAGTTACATACGAAGACAGAAACTCATTATCTTCAAAAATATTTTCATTGACGGGAAAGAGACCGCTCACCTCAAATCCCTTCTGGATATTAGATGTAGTAAATGCTTTTGGAAATGCCTTACCTGCAAGTTCGGCTATATCGTAAATCGTAATAGGTTGTCCAGGGTGCATAATCATCCACTCACTACAGGCGGTATTATAGTAAGTTTTCATCGGTCCAAAAACGGTTCGATCAAGCGGTTGCATTTTGTGGCTGGTGTGGGGATGAAACGTTATCGGTAGAATTCCATTCTTCTTACAGAAATTAATGACACTTACATTCACGTGGCTATCGTGATTATCCAAAAGTAATATAACTGGATTTTCAACTGTTGGTTTCACATGATTTTTAAAGTGTTGTGGGTATTCCAAATACAATATTTCGTTTGACCAGCATGACGGATTTGCACCTCCTATAGTTCCAACTGGACAACCTTTTAGCATGTGAGGCTTATATATCGGAAATATCATCATTGGCGGAATATGATTTCCGATTGCATTTATTGAGGCTATCAAGGTTACATTTTGACCTCGCTCTCCACTTGTCATTTGACCTAATTGTTCCCTTAGGTCCTACAATTTTTGGTGGTACATGGACAGTCGTTAACCCTGTCTCGTCACAATTCCAAATTTTTTCTGGGGAAAAATCTCCACGAGACAAAGCTTCTTTGTAGTTCTAAAAAAAGGAAGATATATTTGTTTTATTGAAGGATGTTGATCTGGCCAAACTTGTAGGTTCTGGTTTACGAAGTGATAAATCTTCATGTCTTCTAAGAAACTGCCTCAGCCATTCCTTGCCAGCTATCTTTTTTTGGTCCCAAGAAGGCGGATGAGACTTGTTATTTGCAGTTGCATACTGGTATGCTAAAGTACGAACTTCCATTTTCGTCAAACCATAGTGGAGGCGTGCAGCAGTGAGAAGATATATTTTTAACTCAGCTTCCTCTTCTTTATTAAAAACTTGTTTTACATTATTGGCAGCAACATAAGAAAATTCTGAAGCCCCCGACTGCCTGAAGGATTTTACGTGCCTGATCAGCGTGGTTTTTGATATGTTATAGCACTTTGCTGCTTCCCTAATTGATAATTCACCACTTATGCATTTATTTGCGGCTGCAGTTAAATCCTGGGCATTTAAATGTGGTCTTTTGATACCCACTTTACTTCTCGGCATTTTAAAATGACTATCTGAAACAATAATAAAAGGTTTTTTTGGTAACAGACACACCAATTAATTTAAATAAAAGTCAAAATAATGTTAATTCGCAATAGGATTGTACCTTGGTCCGGTCCAAGGTACACGACCTACCGGTGACCCAAGGTACACAACGTAACAATTTCAACTGTTTTTTGTTTTCTAATATTAGGTTATGCGTTTAGACAAAAAATACATTCATGATTATCAAGCGTAAATATATATTGTCCATTACAGATAATAATAAAATATATATATATATATATATATATATATATATATATATATATATATATATATATATATATATATATATATTTACATTTGAAGCGGATTTTAACAGATAACAAATAGGTAAATAATTTACTTACGATCCAACAAAACACAAAACGCTCTGCAAGTCACCACGCTGCAATTTTTTGATAAGTGTATTTAGATGCCATCTACCGCTGATATTGTTAAACCACTAATTCAACCAAATCGAAGAGAAATCTGCAGTGGGTAAGAAAGAAAGTCAACTGACCCGAGGTACAACCCGGTCCGAGGTACAACACTCTCCCCTAAAATTAAAGTCGCATTTTGTGACGAAATGATATTAAAAATGGTTAGGAAAGATGTATTTCGATTTCACTTTAGCAAGGAAATATTATGAAATGTATCTTGTCTATATTTGACGTTACATTCTCATGTTTTAGTGTCTCACCTGAAGCATCTTCTTGTGTTTCGTACATATGTTTTGTACATATGATCCTGGGATCAAATCCCCCAGAAACTCCTTATCTTATAGATAAATGTTTTTTATTTTATAGATATGCCACGTCAATACAAAAAGAGAGAACGAGCCAAGAAAAGAACACCAGTCGACAGCTAGAGGTTAAAAGATGCTGTTTTAGACGTTACTAATAACGGTACGTCTCTCAAGGGAACGGCAAGTCGTTTTCAAATAAATATTATGAAGTATGACATTAAAAATATACGTTCGCAGACAAAGATCCGAAAATGTTGAAATATTCTTCTCTTCTGATTATAAGAAGGCCCAAATATTTACAAGACCTTATCACTACGCTCTCCGGAAGCAACAGTTTCAACAGAAATAATGTATCAAAATTTTTCGGAAATTTAAGGACAGTTCTTGAAAACCATGGAATTTGACCAGAAGAAATTTGGAGCGTGGACGAAACTAAACTTTCCACTATATTTATTTATGGAGTGAAATTTAACACTTGGAATGCTATTCTCCACTGTGTACTTTCTTATGCATTTTCAAACTTCTTTGCCGCGAAAACTGTTTAAGGCAAATTTCACAGTTGTAATTCTTTTCTCCAGTGTGTACTTTAATATGATTTACCAAATGGTTTTTCTGAGAAAACTGCTGAAGACAAATTTCACAGTTATATGGTTTTTCCCCAGTATGTATTCGCAAATGCATTTTCAAAATATGTGTTGTAGCAAATGCCTTAAAGCAAATTTCACACTTGTAAGGCTTTTCCCCAGTATGTGTTCGCAAATGCATTTTCAACTTATGTGCTGTAACAAATGACTTAAAGCAAATTTCACACTTATAAGGTTTTTCCCCAGTATGTGCTCGCAAATGTACTTTCAAGCTATTTGATGTAATAAATGTCTTGGAGCAAATTTTACACTTGTAAGGTTTTTCCCCAGTATGTATTCGCGAATGTATTTTAAAATACTTTGCTGTAGCAAACGCCTTAAAGCAAATTTCACACTTGTTTGGGTTTTGTCCAATCTGAACTTTTACACTTTT